ATGTTTTTTTTCAATTTTAATAATCACTTTGACTTTATTTACTTATTTTAATCTGACCAGAGAGGAACAGAGTAAGAGAGAGGGAAAGTGAGAAAGCAGGACGCCAAGTCCAGGACTCGAACCGTGGTCTGCCATGTGGGAGTTCAGTGCCCTTAACCACTATGCCACCTGCTGGCCCCCCAAAATATTCCTTAAAAAGGAATATTTTATCCAAGAGGGAAGATCTACTGGGACCTCCCCTCTTGCTGCAGACAGACGTCCAGCCTTTCAGAGCTCCCTCCTGAGCCCAGAAATATCTTTATTCTGCTCCTCGGAAGCTCTGAGTTGTAGCAGGTGAGAGCGGCACCACTCCTCCTGCTTTCTCCTTGGTCACCCCTACCCTGGGGTATTTACTGAGCGTGGCTGTCTCAGGCAGGTGGCAGGGCCAGGTGTGAAGTTTGGAGCAGAGAGGGCAGACATTTCAGAACATGCCTGCCCCCTCTATTCCCGGCCTTCATCCGTTGGCTCCATCTCCTTAAGCGGGTTCCCAGCTGCTCTAAATTCTTGCGGTAGGGCACCTGTCCTGGCCCGAGAGAGCAAGCACTCCAGAGAGGATAGCCACTGCGGCTCCTTCCCCACCTCTCCCTCCATGTTCCCAAGTGTTGGCGATTGATGCAGTTTTTGAAGAATGTGGGCCATGACCTACATTCTGTTCCAGTCTCAGACCCTGCCGCTTCAAAAACATGCCTGGACATGGGACCAGCAGTTGACATAATGGCTATGTCGCTGGACTCGACGGTGGTTCGAGTCCTGGACCTGGTGGCTTAAACTCATGCCAGACGTGTGGGTGCGTGCACGCCAAGATCCCGAGAGGAGAATGGAGAAGGGATTGTGGTGTGGCCATGGGGGGTGTGTGTGATTTCTCGCTGTCTTTTCTGGCGAGCACGCAGGCCCTATGGCAAAAACCTCTCAAAAAATAAAAAAGAAAAAGCAAATAAGAAAAACATGCCTGACCCAGGTGTGTGCCCCAAATTCTCAGGCAGGAGACTGGAGAAGGGGCTGCGGCGCCCACCCCGCCCCATGGTGCGCTCTCATTCCCTCCTCCCCAGCCAGCGCACGCCCCTATAGAAAACATGGCAAAGACAAAAGCGGGGGTCTAACACAGTGTACAACTCTGCCTCCTGCTCGCGTGCACGCAGGGCCTGGGAGACCACCATGCTGCTGAGGAAAGAACGTCCCCTGTAACAGGGCCCCCCCGAAAGCCACGCGGGCAGGTGCAAGGCCCCTCAAGGTTTCGAGTCTCTCCCGGAGCGGTAAGACCCGGGGCTCTCAAGCAGCCCGCTCCTGCAAGCTCAGAGAGCCAGGTGCAAAGTCCCCGACCCCGCCACCCCGCGGCCACGTGCTCTCCACACCCCCACCCCTCACCACTTCGCCCTCCCTCCCGCCCCAGCGTGGCCTGTTTCAAGCTTCGCTCCCTCTCCGCGCCCCGCCAGGCCGCATGCCATCCCCCTCCGCGGCCCGATCACAACTGCAGCTCGGGTCTGCGTCCCGCGTCTACACCCGCAGCGAGAGACTGGGGCGCTGGCGCTGGGACGCGCGGGCGTAAGCAGGGACCGGGCGAGGGCGGGGCGCGTGCGCGGACGGGCTTTATTGGTCACCGCGACTCCAGGGCGCGCGGCGGGATCGCGAGCACGCCGGCCGCGCCCTCGCGCTTGCGCAGCTTCCTCTGCCAGGCGCGCGCCGCGGCCGCCGGGCTGCCGGCGGGGGGGGGGCGCCTCT